CGATATCGATTGATGACGAAAAGTAGCCTATGACACCCACCCCGCCCGAAGTGTATGTGTGCCAAGTTTGGTCCAAATCGGTTCAGAAATAAAAATTTCTATTCCGCACGTACGTACAGACAGACATACATACAGACAGACATTAAACTTTATATCGTCCTTTCCCCACAGTATAGCGGGCGGAGCTTTGCCGACGTTTGCCAACGTATGCGCGTGGCAGTTTTTGGCAGCTAGAGAGTACAAAAAGTAATGCTTTGGAGTGGAGGTTCAACAAGTTTTTTTAACGTGTTCAAATGTCTGCAGGCCACGCCCGCTATACGCATGGGAAACACCTATATATAAGATAAGCTTACAGACCTCGGTTACAGATCGATTCAGGAATGGAATTTTCTATTCGGAACATACGTACACACATACAGACAGACAGACATACAGACAAACATACAAACAGACATTCAGCTTTATATATAAGATGCTATTTCCAGCTGCGCGCATCATTCTGGAGCGAATTACCACTTTTTATGCAAAATTTGCATGCTCGTCGAGTTATTTGCATCGCGACATGTCATCTGATTGCAAGCGCTCATATAGTTGCGATGAGTTCCTTGTCAGTGAACAAAGATTCGATGTGATTTCGATATCCCAGAACCTTTCTTGGGCAGATTTTCAAATACTGGCGCTTTTCTTATGTTTGGTAGGGTGCCAATTTGAAAGTCATAACTCGCTTTAGAATGGTGATAGGAATAGCATCTGAATCACCGTTTCTAGCTTTTGCAGAATACATATGTCTCTTTCCACAGGGCCAAGCTAAATGAGGTGCCTTCCCAAGCTGAATGTCTGTTTGTCTGTTTGTCTGTCTGTCTGTATGTTTGTATGTGTATACGTATGTTTCGAATAGAAAATTCCATTTCTGGACCGATCCGGACCAAACTTGGCACACATAAAGTGCGGTTCATAATTATACGAACACCCAAAATTTTGTAAGTTTTTGGACTTCTTGGGAGAAACTCAAAAAGCCGTTGGTACCACGCGGTAGAACCAGCCGAAAACGGTATATCTTATATATAAAGCTGAATGTCTGTCTGTATGTCTGTATGTCTGTCTGTCTGTACGTATGTGCGGAATAGAAATTTTTATTTCTGAACCGATTCGGACCAAACTTGGCACAGACAATATACTTCGGGGCAGGGAGCGTGTCATAGGCTACTTTTCGTTATCGATCGATATCGATTTTATCGATTTTTTGCAAAATTTGAGCTAGGGGGCTAGGATTTTGCACAGGGGGGTAATCGAGCATGCTGATCACCCCGGAGGGCATTGTAGTATATATTGCTGTGTAGTCCCTTTGAGCAGCAACTAAGATGTTATAACTATTTATTCAACCGGCCAACGTTTCGGCTTTTTCGCCTTCGTCAGAGCCTAGAAAGTCGAATGTATAAGTGACGCATCCACTCAGACGCTAACATCAAATCAAGATATCATTCAATCCGTAAACAGCACGAAAGCCAAGGTATTAGGTTGTCCGGAAATTAATGCCCGTTTTGAATTTCAACCGCAATAAGTCATACACTTCTCACTTCTGAATAGGTTGCAAAGTACCATTCGATAGAGCAAAGCAAGCTCTACAAGGTGGTCATTTTGCTTTTGCAACAGCTCTCTCCACCTCGAGTTTCGAGCCAAAAACTAAAAAGACTCAGCAGCCCGAAAAATCGAAAAAAAATCGTAACTCAGTTCATAAAAATCCTACAAAAATTCTAACTTGCTCACATAAACACTATTCACATAAGACATTTACACACGCCTTTGCCGTATTTTTTTCTCTGTTAGAAATCAAGAAAACGGAAATTTTCGTGCGTTTGCCAAAGTGATGCTGTGCCGTTCCTACATAAGTAGTTGTATACTACAAACCTATAGAAGAATAAACGTAAATTCTCAGCTCTCTACAAGCTTTAGTTCTCCAAAAATTTGAATTTTAGCTTGGGCCAGCTGACTAGGGAAAGCTATATTCGGTACTTCTCGAGGGCTAAGGCTTGTAGAGAGCTGAGAATTTACGTTTGTACTTCTACAGGTTTGTAGTATACAACTATCTATGTGGGGACGGCACAGCATCACTTTGGCAAGTGCACGAAAATTTCCGTTTTCTTGGTTTCTAACGGAGGGAAAAATATGGCAAGGACGTATATAGATGTTTAATGTAAATAGTGTTTACGTGAGCAAGTAAGAATTTTTGTAGGATCTTTGTGAACTCAGTTACGATTTTTTTCGATTTTTCGGGTTGCTGAGTCTTTTAAATTTTTTGGATCGAAACTCGAGGTGGGTGAAAGCTATTACAAAAACAAGATGGCCTTTTCGTAGCGCTTGTTTTGCTCTATCGAATGGTACTCTGCATCCTATTAGAAGTGAGAGGTGTATTACTTATTGCGGTTGAAATTCAAAACGGGCATTGATTTCCGGACAACCTAATAGATTAACGGGCCGCTAGAACTCACCTTAGATGACACAAGAGGAGGCGCATTGACCAACGAATGTGGGATATGTACCTCTACCTCTTTTTATAGCAGCCGTGTGACCAGACCTCATATCAAAACCTACAGAGGGATTGATATGGCGCGAGCTCATTAGTTACCGCCAGGCACTCTTCCTTCCAGTTCATTTTTGGACTCTTGGCGTTTATTCAGAAGGCCTCCAAAGTTCGCCCTAGCAGTTCGGGATCGTAGGCCAGTATCTTGACTTTAATTTGTACCTCGGCGCTTTCATGCTGCACGATGCGATGACTACTTGAGGGTGTTGATGGTTTCAACTTATGCAACCCGTCCAGGTGTTCCTTAATGCGTGAGCAGAGGGGCGGCCCATTTCTCCCATGTATGTCTCATCGCCTGAGAAGCATATGATGAGATACACCACTCTCGAAATCATACAGTCGCCCTCCTTACCGTATGGACAAATTACACAGTTAGGCATCAAGCATGTGCGATCGTATGATCGATTCCGGACCAGTCGCCGTTTCAGATTGGGCGGCGGAATATCGACCACCCTAAAGCCCGAACATCTCGAAAATTTGCCCATAAAGGTATCCGACCTCCTGATCACGAAAATCTCCTTTGCAAAAGAGCTTCACATTTTAGAGTTATGGTGAGGAAAGACAACGACATGATTTTTCCAGAAACCAGCCCTTCTATTTCCTTGAAAGGAAGTGTAAGCTAATTTTTGCCCCCCCCCCGATAAAGGGTCGCGAAATTTTTTAAACTTACCTACATCTTATCTAAAAAGCTGAATGTCTGTTTGTCTGTCTGTCTGTCTGTCTGTCTGCATGTCTGTACGTATGTTCCGAATAGAAAATTCCATTTCTAGACCGATCCGGACCAAACTTGGCACACATACATTTCGGGCCCCGGCGGGTGTCATAGGCTACTTTTCCTCATCGACCGATATCGATTTTATCGATTTTTATCGTTTTTTTGCAGAATTCACCGGCGGGGCGCTGGGAGTTGGCACAGGGGGGTAACCGAGCATGCCCGAATGCAATATTAGTTTTCAGGTTATCGATTACTTTTATTGATTTTATCGATTTCTTAGCAAAGTTTGAGCTACGGGCCTGGAAGTTGGCACAGGGGAGTAATCGAGCATGCTGATTACGAGTGCAATATCAGTTTGACCGGCTATCCGCGCCCCAAAGTTTCTTTGTCGTAGAGCTTGCTCAAACTTCGTGTATAAGGGTTACTTACGTGCTGAAAACAGATATCACACTTTCTCCGCAGAACGTCTTCCCGTGCGGTTACGATAGGTGTACGGTAAGAAGTCAAAATCATGAATTCGGCTGGAGTTCGGTCCATATGGGTTATTCGACATGCTAATTACGAATATCATCTCTCTCTGCATATTGGAACCTTTTCATAGAGTTGTGGTGGTTATACGGCATGGGGTCGAAACATAGATTTGCTTTATCCGTCTAGGGTGGTCATTTAGCACGCTGAACATGAATATCATGCTGATTTCGCAGGATAGTGCATTTTCTTGGGTTACGGTGGGTGTAGATGGATCGAAGTTCCAGATTTGCTCAAAATTTTACCTGTAACGGTTCACAAGTATCTCGCTTATGAATATGATGCTTGCCTGCTGTCATAACGCATTATTGTGAAGTTATGGTGAGTTGCAGGGTTTAAATGGACATTTTTTGCTTTTGGGCCAATTTAGATTCCAGTTTCACGAAATGGGGCAACCTTCGTTCTGCATGGCGGTCTCCAGCGCCATCCTGATGACAGGGTCCGGCACAGATCGTCTGGAAGCAGGCTGGACTTCGTTTTTGGAGCGATAAGCAAAGGAGATATCGTTTTTGACGAATCGGGGCCAAACAACAAGAGTAAGCTCTATTTAGTCAAACACAAGTTTTTCGGACAGGTTATCACACGATTGACGTGCTCTATCGTGTATGGCGAAAAGTGCGCGCGATTTGAAAGCAAGGCTAAAATTTAAAAAAATGCTCGTTTACAGCGCACACAAAATCATATAACTCCAAAACTGAACTGTATACATAGAAAATTATTTGCAGAAGAATTATGTAAAAACTTTTGGAAACTTATGTGAAGGAATACCTTTTCCAAAATTAGATCGTCTCCAGACGGCCACCAGACGATCTGAGATCGTCTGGAGCATATATTTTCGTCACTTCACATAAGTTTCGGATTCTGCTATCATGGACGAAATCCTCGGTCAACAATCTATCCTTCACCATGAGGAAAGACCATATGTTGCCTTTGCTTTGTTTTTATCTATAAATTACTAGTAAAACCTCTTTGCTGCATATCGCACCCCAGTGCTAAACCGTGTACGTCTGCAGCATGCCTATCTTTGAACTGTCATTCTTAACTCTGGTGTTTGTTTTGTTTCATTCGTTTTTCTTTGTTGGCAAGCTCTTTATCATGTCATTACGAATGATTCCAAGGTTAATCTGTTCGCGACTTGTGCATTTTCTCGGAAATTCTGTTTTTCGCATTTTTCAGATGAGCGTTGATGAAAATGACGTTGTTCGTCAACGATTCGATCGAGGGATATCAGAAACGTCCATACATAGATGATATCAATGACAAGTCCGAGATTTTTGGTCCAGGATCATTCTGAATGATGATGGAAAGTATGGCATCATGATTGGGTGGGTTTTGATAAGATTTTTTCTTTCTTTCACCATATTATTGTTTTCCTAGTGACGCAGATATAGATTCAAGATGTCTTATTATCATACAAACGGTTGCTATCTGTAAAAGAGCTCCTGTTTTTCTAGAGTGTTTTGAATGCAATTTCCAGTTTGACTTCTACCGGCCATTCGCAGCACGCAAAGACTGCTGACGTATCGGCATCTCTCTGGTCGAACGCTATTCGTTTCTTTTACTATCTGCTATCTCTCCCATGCACGAACTATTTTGGTTAGACGCAGTGGCGCCCAGTCTTTGCATGTCATGAATCGCCTATGGATGTTCTACGACTTTTGCTTTTTTACGCTTTAAGTATAATGTGAAAGAGGGAGAACATTGGTGATGTCTACCTACTCTCTAGAGCAAAGCAGTTCGTCATTACGTTTTTAGAATTTTGTTGAAGTGTGGTATAAACCACAATGGTTTCAGTTAAGGAGTCAGGACGGGCGGACCACTTCACCCTCAATTGTCATCGTACTAAAAATAGCGCTGATGCGAACCGCAATGGTATTAAAAAAGTTTTGCGATGCAAGTGAACATCGTCGCAAAAAATTCACCGGTAAATATGCGCTTTTCTTTGTTCATCAAGCTAGAATGACTAAGTGTATTTAGGCAGTTTTGGGAAACCGCCATGCTTCTCCTATTCGTATGGAAATAATCCAACGATACTTTGAAATTTGTGGCCGATTCATTCCAGGATGTTCCAAGTGTCGATCTTCGAACTTTGCCCACGATGAACTTATGTGCTTTTAAGCTTATTTTTGTCTGTACAGACTGGCCGTTCATCAGAAGAGCAGAACTTCACAAGTGTTGACGCATGGTTGGCATCTGGATCCTTGCTTCCTCAGAAACAACTAATTTTTCTCCTTTACATCTTTGCTTTAAATTTTTCTATCCATTTGGAAGTGAAGTTCAAAATAACACTGGTTGAGAATCAAAGTGAAATCAGTGGAACCAGGCTTATGCAGTAATATCATATGATTCTTTTGTTTATTCCACAAAAGAATGGCTGTGTTCACCTGTATAACCTATATCGCTATGATTTGTTGTTTTGAACGCTCATAGCATCTGAAGCTACTTAAGCAAATGTTTTGTAGCTTCGAGAGAAATGACTTTGTCCTTTCATTTTCTTTTGTTGTGTGCTTTTCATAATTCTTGACGTAGATGGCCTACCGAAGGCCAGAGGTGGAAACCCACACAAGGTGTTTTCAATGATCAGTCGATGCCATGCCGCGCCATTGTGGATCGTGTTGAAATATAAAAATTAGGGCATAATAAAAAAGTTAATTGTTCATCTTACGAAGCAAAAAAGTTCTGTTTATCCAAGCTAGAAATGTCACTAAATTCAATCGCTATCATTTTAAACTCCGTCTATGTCTCGAAATCTCAAACGCAAGTACTAGGAATCTAACCGTTCTTAGGTTTTCATTACTGTCTCACTTCTCGAATGAAGTTGTAGGCGGGTGGGAGGGTGTCATGACAACTATAGAATTGATAGTTTTCACAAGGGTCAAAGGGGACTTCGTAAAATTCCTGATAGTCAGTGGGGACTTCGTTTTCAGAAACCTCAGAAACCGACTCGTGCCGGGCTCTGCCTGATAACCTGTCCCAACGTGTAACACACGCGGCAAATCTCCCTCCCTCTGTATGTGCTTAGGCAAAAGCCGCCGAAGGCTGTATCGCGCGCGGCAGTGGTCCTACAAGGAAAGCATTACGGTCTTGGGAAACTTCCATACCACGCGAATTTCCTTTATCGTGGGGATTGAGCACGATCTTGAAACAGCACTTTAGGTAATTCCCTGCCGAGGTTGCAGGCAGGTTCATGATTTTTACCCGCTGCCACGCGAAATGACTGCCATATTCGTCATCAGCGGCTTGAATAACCCTCATATACCGACTTTGAGCAAGATCCATCACAAAAACATTTTGGGGCCGGATAGCCGAATAGCGTCATCAGTTTTCAGAATTATCCTTACTTTTACCGGTTTTATTGTTTTTTTTTGCAAAGTTTGAGCTACGGGGCTGGGGGTTGGTGAGGAAGGTAGGTGAGCATACTGATTACTCACACAGCGGGAATAGGGAATTGCATGTAGAATTGGGCACAGGTAAAGGTGTGCAGTAATAGAAATGGAACCTTTATCTTTTTTGACAGGGCCGGGCGGAGTCGGGTAAGCCAGCTAGTAGGTTATAAATATGTGCAAATGACTTGTTTTCTGTAAATGATTAAAAGACTTTTCAAAATTTCTCAAAATTCAAATTAGCCTTATAAAAATTTTTTTTCAAGGGCGTGGCTGTCGCGCTACGGACCCGCAAAAATCTTAAGATGCACCCCGAAAAGTTTTTTGGAGTGCGCGGCTAACGCCACTCGCCTTTATTCGCAAAGAATTTTGCCCCCCCCCCCCTTCCTCCGGTCCGAAATCCTGGGACCGCCACTGAGAACAAGTACTATTGAACGGTTCTTGCTGGAGTCTAGTCTAGTTCTAGTCAATGCGCGCTGCCTTACACCTTTGCGAAAAGACGTCCACAGAAAAATTCAAGAATACTGGAATCAAAATATAAACATGCTGTACATCGAAAAATTCGCTTTGATAAGATGAGCACGATGCTTTTTGGATTCAGAACATATTCACTCCAAAGAAAGTTACTAGTAGAATCTGGAAATGCGTGATTTTTCCAGAATTCACCAACGCTTCTGTCTCTTTTGGAAAGAAGTCTGCGGCTACTTTCTAACGCACTATAATCTACAAGAAGAACACTTCGTGACATTCACGAGAATTTTGCACATTCTTTTGGTGGTATTGTAACAACTTGTCGAGAGAGTGTATGTACATGCTAGCGTATACTTAGATCTACATTTTTTACATTTATATTTATTTATTTTTTATTTTTTTCAATTATCCTAATCTAGATGACAAGTTAGAAATCAATAACTTCATAACCAAATTATATAACAAAACGGATAATTTTAATTTTGAAGTTGAGCGATTTATACATTACACCTCAAATATTTCTGAACAAATCAAAAAAATCTGCTATTTACATTGAAACACTTAGGACTACTCGTACATGTACCTTCTTCTTAGATTTTCTTGAAAAGATTTTACAACTAAAAGAATATTTGAAATCAAATGGATATGGCAAAGACACAATCTCCTTAAGTATATGCAAGTGTTTACATAGAAACGATTTCATATCATATAGATATGGTCTATACAATGATAGTATTAACAAAGTTTTCAAACATCTTTACGAATGAAACAGACTACACTTGTATCATGAATTATACACTGAGAATGATTTATGTCTAACTAGCTGGCTTACCCGGCCCCGTCAAAACATTATTAAAAGCTCTCATCCCTATCCCTGTACAAACCTTCCCCGTGCCCATTACATGCCACTTCCTTATTCCCGCTGTTTTAGTAATCAGCATGCTCGACTACCCCCCCCCCCCCTGTGCCAAATCTCAGCCCCGTAGGTGACTCTGCAAACAAACCGATAAAAATCAATAAAATCGATATCTATCGATGACGAGATGTAGCCTATGACACCCGCCCGCCCCGAAGTGTATGTGTGCTAGGTTTGGTTATTCGGAACATACGTACATACATACAGACATACAGCCTTACATATAAGATACAATCCATTATCATGAAGCCCATTCATAAACACTCTGAACACGGGTATACTTCATTTTGAATATTACTAGTGATCATGTGGTTATATACAAGTCACTCATATCTTATACATAAAGCTGATTGTCTGTTTTTATGTTTATCTGTCTGCATGTCTGTCTGTATGTATGTCTGTCTGTCTGTCTGTCTGTCTGTCTGTCTGTATGTCTTGACTGTCTGTACGTATGTTCCGAATAAAAAATTCCATTTCTGAACCAATCCGGACCAAACTTTGCACATATACACATCGAGTGTCATAGGCCACCTTTCGTCATCAATCGACATCGATTTTATCGATTTTTTGCGAAGTTTGAGCTACGGGCTGGGAGTTGGCACAGGGGGTAAACGAGCATGCTGATTACGAATACGGTATTAGTTTTTGGAGTTCCCCATTACTTCTATCGATTTTATTGATTTTTTTGCAAAGTTTAAGCTACGGATTGGGAGGCACGGGGGAGGGGGAGGGTAAGTGAGCATGCTGATTACTAACACAGCGAGAATATGGAATTGCATGTAGAAGTGGGGACAGGAAAGGTTGTACGGGGAAGGGAATGAAACTTTAATATAGTGTTTTGACAGGGCCGGGCGGAGCCGAGTAAGCCAGCTAGTATTATATATAGTGGTGGCCAAGACTGTAGATTCACCCTGAGAACTACCGTAGCTAATCTGCTTCTCGTTGAATTGATCTGAAAATTGGTACAGCTGTGTGTTTAACAGGCTGCCATCAGTAACCAGAACGGATCCCGCTTTCGTTTGATTATTCAGGGGAAAATCAAAATTTTTGAAAAAAAAAGCAGGCTTGAACGCTGGCCAAAACTATAGATCCACCTAGAGTTTCTGTCCACTAAAGTAATTCTGTGCTTCCGAAGTCATCTGTGCATATACATAGTCAAAAGTCAAAATAGTCGCTTCAGTCTAGCCGTGACATACCTTACAAAATGCTTATCTGCTTTTTCTTTCACTTAGAAGTAATTTCACGCGTATTTCGTTGCCAAGCGTGTGTTTTTCTAGGTGATTCCGCAGTTTAACTGGTTTAGAAGCGATAGGGCACTATCTATCTTACAGATGCTTAGCGAAGGAGCACTGAAAAAAAACTGAGTATTCATGTTTTAAGCGCACCCGACATAGATCTGGCTGCAAGCCTGCGCATAAATTTCCTCTTCAAACTCTTTCTTTAGTGTTCTCATGAGCGTGAAGTGGAGTAATGACATTGTTTCTACATATGAGAGTTCGTATGCAGTGGTTGCTGAAGCTGAAGCTGCTTCCGCGTTGAAATTTCGGGGGTTAGAAGTGGCAGAGATAGATCGGACTTTGGCCTATAGGTTCCATATGGGGGCTCCTACCCTACGACCTTGTTTTGTCACAGGAGGTTCCATATGGGGGCTCCTACCCTGTGACCTTGTTTTGTCACGGGTCTCATTCTGCCGATGTACTGCCTTTAAGGAATACATCCTACAAAAACTGATTTGCAACAAGCCTTGAATTTGAATTTGAAGCCTTTATTTCTGGTCTTGACCATCATGTTCATGTGAGTCACAAAGCAACATACAATACAGACTGTTTTCACTATTTAGCAGCAAAAGTGGCAAAGTGGCAAAAAATCAGGAAAGGTACCACTCACTTGTAAGTAATTTAAAATTGCCTAACATTAAACCGCGAGATTTATCCTTTGAACACGAAGTGAAATGCGACTTCGCGAACAATCGCGAGTATAGTGTACAAACATCTTTTCCTGTAAATGATGCTTCTACATTATTTTGAGCTTACAAAAATAGCTTGAACCGATTTTTAAGGCGGGAATTTATGCGCAGGTTTGCAGCCAGGTCTATGTCGAGTGCGCTTTGAACATGAAAACTCTTTCTCCCAGTGCTCACTTCGCTAAGCATCTGTAAGATAGATGGAGCCCTATCGCTTCTAAACCAGTCAGAAAACTGCGGAATCACCTGTAAACTTACATTCTCGTTAACGAAATATGCGTGAAATTACTTTTAAGCGATAAAAGA